CTTCCATTTGCTACGAATACTTAATTCGTTTAAGTACTCTTTATGCCAGCGCGTCCAAAAGTGTTGTTTAATACGCTGTATGTGTTGCCACAAAGATGATATTATTCGTCGCAATAGTCGTGAAATCATGTTCAGGCAGACTAGTCAATGACTCGCCGATTAGGAAGTGAGCAGGTGTTAACGACTGCAAATCGTTTGGATCGGATGAAAGGGGTGTTAGGGGACGAGAATTGAGGATGGCTTCAATTTGAACTACGTACGTGTTTAGTTGTTCATACGTCAACAAAGTGTCTCCAACGGTTCTTATTAGATGGTGCTTGAAACTCTTCACAGCAGCTTCCCATAAACCACCAAAATGGGGTGACCTGGGTGGTGAACAGTGCCATACTATTCCTACGTTAGTTAGATGTCGCGCAACTTGATCATTGTGATCCCTTGATCTGACTAACGTCAATAGCTCTGCGATCTCATTTTTTGCACCAATAAAATTTGTAGCATTGTCGGAGTAGATATTTTTAGATCTGCCTCGTCTTGAAAAGAATCTATTTAATGCCGCCAGGAAGGCTTCTGTGGTCAAATCACTAACTAATTCTAAATGTACCGCCTTTGTCACAAAACACATAAACACTGCTACATACACCTTGAGGCGTTTTTGGTTGCGAAAACGTTTCTCTTTCACAAACAATGGACCGCAATAGTCTACGCCGGTGTTCTCAAACGGTCGAGTCGCTACGAGCCGATCGCGGGGAAGGTTGCCCATCAGGTAGTCAGGCGGACCTGTCGGTTTAGCCTTGAAGCATCGCAAACATTTGCGAATTATGTGGCGTGTCATATTTTTGCCATCAACTGGCCAGTACCGCTGTCTGACTGCATTTAATGCCCCTTGTATGCCAGAAAGCAAGGTTTGTTGGTGTTCGAACTGAATTATCAGTGTGGTGACTGGATGCGATTTGGGTAGTATTATGGGATACCTTTGCGCATACTTGATGTCGGCGTTTCTCAACCGACCACCTACACGAATTATACCCTTATCATCGAGGAAAGGGTTTAAATTAATTAATTTGTTACGTTTATCGAGGGGCCCTTTTGCTTTCAACTGTTCGAATTCCGAATGGAAAGTCTGAGCTTGCGTTCGTTTTATAATCCTCTCGAGCGCTATGCGTAATTCTATTACGGAGAGACTACCCTTATGATTACCCTTGTTTAATTCTAACTCTTTAAACCTCAAGCAATAAGCCACAACTCTCTGTAATTTGGAAAAAGATGAAATTCTAAAGAATATGTCTTCCCTTTCTAGTACTAATTTACTAAACAAGGAAACATTACTCCGTTTTTCCGGAATCTCTATGGTAGGCAATGACATATTGGGCCAGGTATCTTCGTCCCGAACCAACCACTCAGGGCCATAAAGCCAGGCTAAATTGTGAATAAATTTGTCGGTCATTTGCCCTCGAGAAATGTAATCCGCAGGGTTGTCCTTTGTGGGTACATGTGACCAATTCATAGATTCTGTGAATTTTTGTATCTCGACTTCACGATTTGCAATAAAGGTTTTTAATTTGTGTGGCGACGATCTTATCCACCATAATGTTATAATTGAATCGCTCCAAAATCTAACCTTGTTCAATTTGACCTTTATATTTGAGACTGTTGTTCGATATAATTTGACCAATAGTACGGCAGCACACAATTCTAACCTAGGTAGTGAAACTGTGTTCAACGGTGCTACTCGTGACCTGTCTCTTATACACATCTAGATGTGTATAAGAGACAGGTCACGAGTAGCACCGTTGAACACCTGTCTCTTATACACATCTAGATGTGTATAAGAGACAGGTCACGAGTAGCACCGTTGAACACCTGTCTCTTATACACATCTAGATGTGTATAAGAGACAGGTCACGAGTAGCACCGTTGAACACCTGTCTCTTATACACATCTAGATGTGTATAAGAGACAGGTCACGAGTAGCACCGTTGAACACCTGTCTCTTATACACATCTAGATGTGTATAAGAGACAGGTCACGAGTAGCACCGTTGAACACCTGTCTCTTATACACATCTAGATGTGTATAAGAGACAGCCAATATTGACAGTATACGAAATTATGTCAAGTTTCGCATTCGAACAGACACCTAAAGTCTTTTTTGTTTCCGATGCGTTAAAGTGCACAGTCTCGTCCCTACTTTATTCGTTGCAGGCTTGAAGTAGGGTTTCCTCATTGGAGGATTAAATTGTCTAAGATTAAAACCGCCTAATCTAAGCAATACTATTAACTCGTCTCTAAGCTGAGCTGCTTGTGAGACAGTATTTGCTCCAGTTATCAATTCGTCCACGTAAAAGTCGTGTTTCAGAGCATCCGCTGTCAAGGGTAAAGCTTGACCTTCGTCCTCGGCTAATTGTGTCAGAGATCTAACCGCGAGAAACGGTGCTGGGTGCCGTACCATAAGTCACGGTATCTAATTGATAAGTTTGGACGGTATCATCCTTAGAATTGCGCCAAAGAATCTTCTCGAACTTTGCATTAGTTGCGTGAATTCGAACTTGTCTAAATATTTTCTCTATATCTGCCGTTAACACATAATTGTGTGTTCGAAATCTAGTGCTTAATTGGAAAATGTCATCTTGTATTGTAGGTCCTACTAGCAGTGTATCATTGAGGGATATTCCACTTGAGGATTTAGCTGACGCATCAAATACGACCCGTAGCTTTGTTGTACTGCTAGTGCTTTTTAGCACAGCGTGATGGGGTAAATAAAATCCTTCATCTACGCGATATTGTTTCACGAGCGACATGTGTCCTAACTGCAGATATTCATTGATGAATTCTTTGTATTGTTGGTTTAATTCAGGCTGACTCTCTAAGTGATTTTCAAGAGTATAAAATCGTTTCAATGCCATTTTACCTGAAGTTCCTAATTGAGATAGGGTCTTATTAAAAGGAAGTCTGACTACGTACCGACCTTGCTCATCGCGATACGTATTGTCCTGAAAGTGTTGCTCGCATGCCTTCTCTTCGACGGAAAAATGCTTTTCACTTGGACATTCCTCTATCTTCCAAAAATTTGCAACCTGATCATTGAGATCGTGGTTGGCCAGATGACACTTAGCGCTCCTAAATGAGTTGTGCTGACAATTGGTTTCTCCCGAGATTAGCCAGCCTAATCGCGTCTTTTGTAATACGCACCTCCCATTAGGTAGCCTGATTTGTCCTACGCATAATAACTTGTAGAAGAGGT